GAAGAGTGGCAGGACTTGACTTACTGCTACTTAGTGTAACATAGCAAAGTTGATAGGATGCATAAAATACATTATATATGAATCCATCTTATTATCACACATTGTATACATGTATAGAAGTATCATAGTCTATCTCAATAATATATATAATTAAAATAATAAAAAGTGGAAGAAAAAGCTACCTAAGCAGACTGCAGCAAAAGATATGTCTGTGATGTCACCGAACAAGTGAGGTGCCCTGATGTGAGAGAGATTCTTGTGCAAAAAAATGTAAGCAATTTCTAAGAACTGAAGGAAGTGACAACTGTAGTCATAAAGAAGGTCATATAGCAACAAGGGTCTCAATTCTTCCAACACCTTCATAGTTTGGGAGTGAGTGATGCACTGCAGGAAAAATTACAGATCCAATGACCAGCAAATGTATTTGTGAGCCCTTGAGCAGCAGGCCGGCTCAGCCCGGCCCAGTCACCTGATCAAGGAAACTGCATAATAACAAATGTGTGCTATTTTAAGTTCCAAATTTGTGGTATTCGTTATGCAGCAACAGAAATCTTCTATGATCATTATTGACATGTAAGAAAATGAAAATAAGAGAATAAAGCCATTAACTGTTCTTTTAGCAACAATGATGAGAAACAGAAATCAATGAAATGAAATTTCCAAAGTGCTGAAAGAAAATAACTCCCAAACTAGAATTGTAAATTCAGGGAAAATATCCACTAGGATGTATAATTAACACCAGAACTTAGTTCTTGAACTTTTTTGTGTCTCTATTGCATAATTCAACTAACCATCTCGGAAAAAATCTAGCAAATAATAGTAACAAGAATCTTTACCTCTGAAAAAAATACAGAAATAAGTTCTCAGGAAAGGAAATGGACCATTTTGTTTACTTTCCCTTTCATTTTGCATCCTCACAACATTCACTGAAGACATTCATCAAGACATCTCCCCAGACCAGACAGAATTAAGTTTCTGCCTCTTAAAAAACTATCCATCAGGAACAGCCTAAACCATACAGGGTAAGGCATGAATACAAATCTTGTTCTTCTGTTTTCTAGGTTTGTACTTGGATAAAATCTTTTCTACTTCTATGGAGTCTAGAATTTTATTCTTGAAATAGCCATGTTAATAGTCTTTCTGTCTGCTTCCTAGGCTTCTGCTCAGAATCAAGCAAGAGGTTGTAAACATGAGAACTTTTTAAGTTGCAAAGATTTATGGATAAAGATGTGGGTAGGAACTTGTAGCACCCATAGGAAACCCACCACTAAACTATCTTCTGCCCCCTCCAGCCATGGTGATGGTTACACTGCAGCTTAGGGAAAGCTGGGGAAAGCAAGGTACATACTTTCAATGTTGCACAAGAGTTACTGATAGGCAGTGAGAGAACGGAATTTAGTTTATTCATGTTCTACAAATGACACCTTGAGGAAGGGGAACTGGGATGGGTCTTCATAAATATCCATTAGATCTAGCAGAAATGCTTTTGGCCTTGAAGGAAAGAGAAATTATTGGCATTAAACATTTTATACTCTTTTTCTTTTCTGTTTTTATTTTCTCTATATAGAGATTTTTACAATGCATTCATATGGGGATCTATTATTAATCTCTTTCAAAGATAAACTCTTTATTTGTATGTATATTTGATTGATTGACTGACTGACTGACTGACTGACTGACTGACTGACTGACTGATTGATTGATTGATTGATTGAATTTACAGTTTAGGGAAGTAAGAAATAGCAAGATTCTCAATGAATATCATGTATGGCTTGATGTAACAAGGCCTGGTGAGTGCAGAAATTTCAGAAGCCGAAAACAGGTCAGGAAAAGTCCCCCTAGGAGATTCTGTGGTGATTCAGGACCTCTTTGTCCCACTCCCCCAACACTTCCCCTCATATCCTTGAAGCCAGCACATGCATGAAGGGCACCTTGCCCCATTGACTTCTACAGGAGTCAATGTCACAGACATCAGGCTAGAGAGCAAATTGCCCCCTTTGTTTGCACATGGGTCTGAAGCCAAATGATTAGCAATGAGAGCTACTTAACTTGGGTAGAAAGTCCAGTCCTGATGAACTTAACATACATGTCCTGAGAGTTGTGGTATTCTTGCATGACACATTTTCCTCCCCTCTTATCCTCAGCCCAGTTTTAAAGGGCTGTGGATAGAGGACAGTGATGGAGGTTCATGCTGCCACTAACTGCTGAAGGAGTTGAGTTTGTTCCTTGCCAGTCTCTGAGATTCTCTTTCTTCTTTGTAAAATGAGGAGTTTGGACAAAGTGTCCTGTTAGGTCCCTCCAGCCCAGACATGAGTCATTCATTCCTCTGTCACTCAGTTGCCATGTTCTAATGATACGGGCACAAAGCAGCCAGAAGGCACTGGCAGGAAGCAGCAGTGTGAACTTCTTGTCACGCTCCACACATTGGTCTTCCTTCCTGTGTTCCCTCATGTATCTATATTCTTTGTTCATTTCAGACTCATCCATGTCTACCATTTCTTTCTTCCTGCTATCTTCTTGATGGGTAGTCATAGCTTACTCAAGAAAGATTATAGAACAGAATTAAAATTGAGTATTTTGTAGACACAGAGGGTATCATTTCTAAAGAGATTTTTACTTTAGTACATATGAATACCAATCTTAGATGTCTACCCAGGTCTGGACCGTTATAGTAAAGTCCCTACCCCCATTTAGTACATCAGCAATCTGTACAATATTCCTCCAAATACCATTTAGTCTACAATTGTACCATGCATCACTATCGAGTACACTTGTACACATAGTTAACCACACCGACACTCTTCCCATCCAGAAGACTAGAAGGTCATAGCCCCACTTTCAGTATTTCTCATGAAGTTTGGATTTCAGCATAATACTGAGAACGGTCAGCAATCTCTCTGCAAGGCTGTGGTGCCTGGCTGCCATGAATTTGAAATCAGGCAAAGAGAATTTCAAGAGAAAAAAATGACTACTTGTGAATTCTGAGAAAAATTCAGACCTTTATTTTTAACCAGTTTCCAAGCAGACAATACTGTACTGCTGACAACTAAATTGAATCACAGTGAATGTAGCTCCATAAACACGATGAAATCATTTTTTAAAAATGTAAATATAGAAGTTGCCGATCTTCTGCCTTCACCATACCACATCACAACCAAAGCTCTGAGCCCTCACCTCATGATAATTGTTTTCCTAGAAACTGCTTTCCTAAAGTTTTATGGATTTGGAACTCATGGAAACAGACTGTGAGATGGAGACTTTAATGCAAGAATTTCATTAAGGAGTGCTTTGTCCCTTGACACTGTGCAGGGCTGAAGGTAGCGGGGTAGAACAGGCAGATGAGTGGAAATGTGGCCCAGTCAAGCAAGCCTTTCAGCCCATCTCACAGATGAGTGCTCTGGATTAAGGAAACTTCTTCATAATTATCTTAAACACAGTCAGACCCCTGAAATAGACATATCCCATTCAAAGAATAACAAGACCTAGGAGGAAGCAGCTCCATAGCAAGGACAGTTCCCAAAAAGGGACCCACGTTTTTTCCAGCATTGGGGAATGTGTGTGTGTAAATCCTCAGTGGTGCAACCTCGGTGTGTATACTATCATAGTGAATAAATTTATCTTTGGCAAAGAAATGGTGTTAAATAGATCAGACCTTCAGGCAGAATATTTGAGCCAGGTAAAGGGAATTATTAAGCATAGTGTTTTAATTGTGCTTTAACTAACAGCACAGAAATGAAATGGCTGCCATTTCTGGGAATCTGGACACTAAGACAAAGATATGCTTTATCCCCAGCCAGACTCTTGAGCCAGGTATTCCAGGTCTTGACTCTTTGCCACATTAACTTGAGCTAGAGGATCTGTTCATTCTCACCAGCTCCTCCCATCCTTGCAGCTGCAGACTTGGTGACACTCCCACAGGAGATGTCTCGCCTTCAGGGAGTCATGTCGCTGGGTCGAACGGATTCTGGAAGCCATGCTAACTGTGTTACTGTGTTTGCCACTTAAGAGTGTGGCTGTCTGCTCCACAGAATGCCAGAGTTAGCGGGACGGATGAGAAAGGGGTCCTTCCGTAACCCAGGGCATTCACTTGTACTTTCTTTGATGCCACTTAGTACAAAGTTTAAAAACTGGTGGGATCAAAGAAACTTTGCAAATTTAACCACAACAGATTCACGAGCTTCTTATAAAATTTTTAGCTAAGTTGTGGATTGTAATTTATTAATAAATGCTGCTTAGTATATTGCCTAAAGTGTTTATGTTTATAACACTATTTCAAAGAATGTAGATCCCTCCTGGGAAACTTCTCAGAGGGTATCTTCCTTAGCCCTGTATTGAAAGTACAGAAAGAGTTGAACCTTTCAGGCCTGGTTTCCTTTTCAATCTGAGTTTTCTGTTCTGGACATGTCAGGACCATGGACAACCCACCTTTGTTCTTCTTGGCCACTGCTTTTTTAGTATCTTACATTATACTCCCTATTTCTAGGTCAGTTAAGGAAGTGACATCCACTTGGTAGCTGTTCCCTGGCCTTTTGAGAATTCCCCAGGTAGTGATGCCATGGTAGGATGTGGCAAAGGCAACATCCTGTGTGTTTTCACCAGCATGTCACAATGGCTGCGCTATTCCAGCATCCTCACCACCAACAAAGAATCTTTCTGAAGGGATTCTCAAACCATTATCAGCATCCTGATGGATTTTTGTGTGCTACTGAATTTAAATAGCTGAAAACATTCTCAGAATGTCTGTGCCTAAGTGTAAGTGCAAATGTCCCCGAGTGTCAATGACACAGACATTTAAAATCTTTGTACTATATTATTTGCAATGCCAAATCATTTTCTTACTTCTCTAGAGAAGAACACAGAAAAGCATAACTACCATAATGAGCATACAGTTCAACTTAGTTCACTATTTCTGATCTCATGTGTTGAAATGGTATAGTAATTAAAACATATCTGTATATTTAAAGAAAAGATCTTCACAAAAATATCAAGATTTGCTTTCTTCAAAATGCTCTGCACAGAGCTTCTTTGACTTCCCTGTTCCTCAGGCTGTACACAACAGGGTTCAGCAGAGGGGTGATGACAGTGTACGTCACTGAGATTAGTCTGTCCTGCTCCAGGGAACTCTGGGACTTGGGCTTGAGGTAGACAATTGAGGCACAGCCATAGTGGATGATGACCACTGTGAGGTGGGAGGCACAGGTGGCAAAGGCCTTCTTCCTGCCCTCTGCTGAAGCAATCTTGAGGATGGTAGAGATAATGAGGACATAGGAGAAGAAGACCAGGACCATTGGTAGAACAAGAACAAAGACACTCACTACAAAGGTAATGATCTCATTGACAGTGGTATTTGTGCAGGCCAGCTTCAGCAGGGGTCTCACATCACAAAAGAAGTGGGAGATGACAAATCCACGACAGAAAGGCAGGCCAAATACAGATGTTACCTGAATAATGGCCATGCTCAGACCAACCCCTAGTGACCCAGATGCCAGCTGGATACAAGTCCTGTTGCCCATGATAACTGAATACCTTAGGGGGTTGCAGATGGCCACATAGCGGTCATACCCCATAGCTGTAAGCAGAAAGCAGCTATTGATGCCAAAAGTAAGATAGAAGAAGAGCTGAGTGGCGCAGTCTTGAAAAGAAATAGCCTTCTGAGGATTCAGGAGGCCAGAAAGCATACGAGGAATGATAGCCACCATGTAGCAGGTCTCAGAGATGGAGAGCATGCTCAGGAAAAAGTACATGGGAGTATGAAGGCGGCGGTCCAGGCGAATAATGGTCACAATCATCACATTACCAGACAGAGTCAGCATGTACAATGTTAGAAAAATGACAAAGAGAATAAGCCTGTGCTGCCACCCAAAACTGGAGAAACCTTCAAAAAGGAACTCAGTCACAAAAGTGAAGTTTGTTCCTGGCACTGGCATTGAGCTGGTCTAAGTGTTTAATTGAGCTGGGCTAAGGAAGAAAGCTGTGATGGTTCAGGCATGAAACACAGAAGCCTGGACCAAGGTGTCTGGTCCAGAGAGGGTCCAGCCTCTGAGCATTGCTTCGGATCCCAAGGTCAGGGGCCAGTTCTGCAGTTTTCCTCTTTGCCAGCCTCTTAACTGATACTGTAGAAAAGTTCTCCTGGAGATCTAGAATTGAGGTAGAAACAGAGATGAGAGGGAAAATGCAAATTCACTAATGGATATTTATAGAATATCTATATTCCCAGATATGGAATTGCTGGATCATATGGTAATTCTATTTTTAAATATTTGAGGAGCTTCTCTGTTCTTTTCCATAGTGGTTTCACCATTCTACATTTCCACCAAGGAAGTATAAGAGTTTATTTTCTCCAAACCTTTTAGACAGTTACTATCTGCTATTAATAAATTAAAAAAATCTTTTCTTATTATTAGGAGGTAATATCTGATTGTGTTCATTTGCATTTTCCTGATAATTACTGCTGATGGTCATCTTTTCATATTTCTCAATTAAAATTAGATCCCCAAAGAGATATTTGTACATCCAGCATTTGTTGCAATGCTATGTATTATAAATAAGTTGTGGAAATGATGAAAGGCTCATAGGCAAATGAATGATTAAGGAAAATACAGCACATGCAATGGAATATTACATATCCTTAAAAAGAAGGAAATCTACCCTATGCACTGACAAAAATAAACATAGAGGATATGACACTAAGTGAAATAAGCTAGCCACAGAAATGCTAATAGTGCATGATTTAGTTATATGAAGTACTTAATATAGCCAAATTGATCAAAACAGAAAAAGGTATAGTATCTATGAGGGAACAGGATAAAGAAAATTAATGAGCTGTGACCTCACTTCTATAAAGTTTCAGCTAAGCAACATGAATTAATTTTTAGGTTTGCTGTACTACATAGTATATCTAGTCAGTCAACTGCAATATAAATTCTAAAATATGTTATTAGGGTTGATTTCATAAGGGTCTTACTACAAAATGAAACAAAGACTCAAGGAAACTTTTGAAGGTGACACATGTGTGTTCCCCCAGATAATGTTTTGATAGGAATGCATGTTCAAACTCACAAAATTCATACATTTAGTAATTCACATTATTTGGCATCAATTATACTAAGTCAAAATGTTTTTCTTTTTTCTTTTTTCTTTTGAGGGCCAGCAAGATAGCTCAGGGAATTAATCACCTGCTTAGGCAAGCACAGGGACCTGGATTCAATTCCCAGCAACACATGCCACACTGGCCCCCAACCACAGGTGCACTGAGCAAGCCATGGAGACCAGGCATGGTGTCACACTCCTGAAATCCCAGCACTGCGGAGGTTGAAAATAGGAAGATCACTATGAGTCCAAGCTGCAGGACTGGTGTGGCATGTGGTGCCAAGGATCAAACCCAGTCCCTGTGTTTTCCTAAGTAGGCACTTAGTCTGCTAAGCTATCTTGCCAGCCCTCAAAATGTTTAAAGAAAGACACAACTCCTTGGCCACTGGACATCTGGATCTGGCCAGTGGAGAACAGTGAAACACTGAGGGTTCCCAGATCCTTGTCTCTCCTCAGCTCATCCTGATGTAGCTCCCAAAGAACTCAATGAAAAGTGACCTAGTAAAAGACAAAAAATGTCTGAGACTGATTCCCTTCCAACACTGTCAGAAGCATTCAATACCAAATGTCCTTTTAGGTCCTTGCAATGGCTTCTCCTCTCCAGAGCGCTAGTCTAATTCTAGCCTTCATGTTCTTAAGTCCTGCACCAATTATCCCATGTGATTTTGAAATAATAGAGAACAGAGAAGCCTACTGGCTACTATGTCCCATAGATTTGCAACAAATATCCTGTAAGATCATGAGAGATGACTTTATAAACCACTCCAGATACTTAGCTTGTCTCCTTGAATTCTGGCCATACAAATAGAAAGAGAAAGAAACAGAAGAAGTCCCTTCAAATACAAAATGAGTTTTCTCCTTTCCTTTCCATGCAGTGGAAATAAGCTGGCCCTTTATTTTGTCTTACCCCAGTGAATTCAGCACTAGAGACTATTGGAGCAGATTTATCTTTACCCATCAGCCAAGTTTAACCACTATCTCCACTGCTCCTTCCCCGCTGTACCCTGCCCAAAGGCAGTGCCTCCTGCTATTCCTCTCTGTGCTTTCTACCAACTCCTAACTTCTAATGATCATTGTCTTTGAGTATGATCACTACAATAGTCTCCTAACTCATCTTCTTTTCTTCAGTGGGCCTTAATCTACATCTCACGACCAACTCTGATCATTACAGTCTTTCAAAAGCAGATCCTAGAGTTTCCCTGGGTAAATATCTTCACAAACTCCTCAGATTTTTAAGAACAATATTCAAGCCCATTTACACGTTGATTATACTAATGTTAGGCAGAGTTGAAAGTTAAATAGGTGAGTGTATTTAAAGAATTTAACCCCACGCCGGACACACAGGAAGCTCTTGTAGTTTTATTAGTGGTTATTCTCTTTAATTTAACAAATGAATCAGTTTAAATTTGTAAGAGGCATAGGGCACAAATGGAGGTTGAGAATTCATTCCAACATTTATGGATTCTAAACAATCCTTTGATTACCCTAGCCTTGTTTTTTTCATTAATTTTATAATTCTTCTTTCATCTACTCATATAGATTTTTTCATGCTTCTTAAAAATGTCTCTCAAGGTTCACTGATCAGATTCATACACAGCTGTGCATGCTGTCCTCATACAGATGTGGAAAGAGTAGAGCACAATTTTAAGTTTCACCTCTAACATGCTCCTGATAATGCCCAACGTTTTTAACTCTCACCTAGATCTGAAATTCCATCCAACTAATATACATAGAAAAATCTAAAGGGATATCTATCTTGTGTTAAAGTTGATGCATTGGAGCCAATCAATGTTAACTCACAGTTGCTATTATATTTATGCACAGTAGAATTCATGCACATTATTCTTATAAATTAATTTGATTTATTTGACAGGAGATTTTATTTAAGACAGTGGCCTGTAATATTTACCTTTTTTCCTCCTCTAGACTGTTAGTCTGCTCTGATCTAATAGCACTAAATGAAAAACTCTACCCCAGTACCAATAGTTCAGGGAGCCCAACAGGTACAATAATTAGTAAGGGGGAACGAGGTATGCAGAATACTTTTGAAGCACTGCCAAGAATATGATTACTCAACTCAGTTCTAAGAGATGGAAATGAAGAGTGAAAGATAAGAGGAAAATGTAGGGAAGGCATTAAGCGATATCACAAAATTCAGACAATATATTTGAGATTGGTGGTTTATGGCTTTTTCTTTCTTTTAAATAAATAATGCAAAAATGAATGTAGTCTAGTACGAAATAAATATATACTGCTTGTTAGTTTTCAACAGAAAAGGAAATTTATCTGATTGTTTTCTGAAAATGAAAAGATCCTTGTTAATTTTGGTTTACTTAAAGTATAATTTGTCTTGATTTTACCCAAAAAAACCCATCTCTTCAATTGAATGTGCTCAATAGCCACATGTACAAGTGCTGCTAGCCTGTGGAAAGGAGAGAAGGTCAAGGCGATCTTGGTTCTCTTGGGCCTCAAGGTCTTGAACAGCCTTGGGATATTACCCAGTGAAAGGCTTGGTTTTGTCTTTTCCCCATTAGAACACCCACCTGTGTTTCAAAATTTTGAGAAATCATATGCTTTCCTATAAGACTCACGTTCCCATTCTTCAGGTTGGCACCCTCTCTGTGTTAACTGAGTACACACTTACACACACACCCCAACCTAACAGTTACTCACCTGGTAACCTGTTTCTGGGGTCCTCTAAAGAGTTGTGCTCATGCCCAATGCATAGCCACCATTCTGGAAATGTGACTGCAAGAAACAGGAGATTATAAATTTGTATGACTATTTATCAAATGTTTCTGAGATTTTTGTCAATGTCATTTGCAAAAGAAATTTAAAACTTACCAGTTGTTTGTCTGCAGGTCACTATTTTACTGACTAGTCTGTGAGTTTTCTTCTTACACGATAGTGTTATTTTTAACAGGAATTCCCCATTTGGTATCAAATCTCTAGATACCAACCAGAATACTATGCCAGAAAACAAGTGCATAGAGAAGGAAGTGATATCTGTCTCAGTCGTCCTGAGTTTGAGAACACAGTAAGGACAGGAAAAGTCACATAAATTTCCCCCAGTCATTCATTGCAAGAAGCTCTTCTTGGGGTCACAAAGAAGAAACTCTGGATTAGCAGTTCTTAATAAGGTACCAAATCTCTGTCTCAAAAGCCAGGTTTCTGTACAAAATGCAGTCATTATTCTCAAGTGATCAGAAGTAGAAGACACAATCCACACAGCAGAGTGTGCCTGGAGACCTCATTACCAAGGTAACTGACTGTGCCTCCCTGCTGGTGGCCCACAGTGAGGATAACATTTGGGAAAACACAGTTAACTAAGCTATTAGTAACATTTCCAGGGTGAAAAGTCTAACTTTCTGTCGTAGCATGGCCCTTGGCCTTGTAAGGATCTGTGTTATATTTTCTACACATTTCTCCAGTGGCAAGGAAAGGAAGTTAATGCCTTATAGGATAACTCTTCATATATGAGATAGGAGAAGGAAGGGCTTTCAGGAGTCCTACTTACCAAGCATACACAGAAATGACCTTCAGGAACTGTGACATGTAAATCAGGCTTAAAGTCTCTGAACAGAATCATCAATTCTATTCCTAAATTCTACTTTATGAGCTTTTATCTGATTCAACAGGTATTTGTTCTGTCTCTTCTGCTCACCACAAGCCCCTCACTCCCATTGGCCCCTGGTCCTACCTCTAGAAGGTCAACCTCCAAATACTAAATCCATCATGTTATTCATAACCCACATAGCTTCTCACATGTGTCTATAGTCTCAAAATATGTAAAAATTGTCACCCAAATGTCATGTGTATTCACCTTTTTAATCATTCC